GTACCGGGGTTAACGGGGGATGGGACCGGGGGAAGAACCGGTGGGATTAGGGATGGGGGGGGAGACCCCCACCATGTCACCGGAGCGCTGTTACCGGGGGTCTGCAGCCCCACAGCTTGACCACAACAGGTCCCCGATGGCCACCAAGGAGGCTGAGGGGCAACCAGCCACCACGGATGGTGACGAGCCCAATGGCGGTGACAACATGGGGCAGAACCACGTGGAGATTGGGGGGCAGCAAGTATCTGAGGAGCCCCCCGATATCTATGGGGAGAACTTTATGGGGAGCACAACGTTGGTGACCCACGATGAGGAGAAACCCTACAAGTGTCCCCATTGTGGGAAGAGCTTCAAGTGGCCTTCAGGGCTCGTTACCCATCAGAACATCCACACTGGGGAGAAACCCTACAAATGTGGGGACTGTGGGAAGAGTTTTAGGTTGAGGTGGAACCTCATCATCCATCAACGGATCCATACTGGGGAGAAACCCTATAAATGTGCTGATTGTGGGATGAGTTTCCAATGGCACTCGAGTTTGAGGTGCCACCGACACCTCCACAGCGCCGAGAAACCTTATAAATGTGATGATTGTGGGAAGAGTTTTCGGTACAGTTGGTTCCTCATCAAACATCAAGGTTCTCATACCGGTGAGAGACCCTACAAGTGTCACGAGTGTGGGAAAAGATTCACCCAGAGCTCAGCTTTGAGTTATCACAAACGAACTCACGTCGGGGTGAAACCTTACAAGTGTGAGGAGTGTGGGAAGAGCTTCATGTGGCCTTCAGGTTTGAGTTCCCATCAACATACCCATGAGATGGAGAAATCCTACAAGTGTGATGAGTGTGGGAAGACTTTTCGATACCGTTGGTCACTCGTCACCCATCAAATCAGCCATAGTGGGGTGAAACCTTACAAGTGTGAGGAGTGTGGCAAGAGATTTACTCACAGCTCCACCGTCAACCGTCACCAACGGATCCACACTGGAGAAAAACCCTACAAATGTGAGGAATGTGGGAAAAATTTCACCAGTAGATCATCCCTCGTGGTCCATCGTTTCACCCATAACTTGGAGAAACCCTACGAGTGTGGTGATTGTGGGATGAGCTTCTCATATAGTTGGTCACTGGTGAAACACAAGCGCGTGCACACTGGTGAACGTCCTTATGAGTGTGATCAATGTGGGAAGAACTTCAGCCAGAGCTCATCTCTCCTCTACCATCGACGGACACACACCAAGGAGAAACCCTACGGGTGTGATGAGTGTGGGAAGAGCTTCAGAGATCATTGGTCCCTCGTCAAACACCGACACGGACACCTTGATGAAGGTCCTTATGAGTGTGAAACATGTGGGCAAAGTTTCACCAGTAGAAAAGCTCTTGGGAGTCACAAACGTGTCCACACCCAGAAGAAACCCT